TCTCTCACTGAAGGGTAAATTACTGGCTTGTGCTCACTGAAGGGTAAAAGTGAACAGTTGTACAGCAGAGCAGCTAACAAGACATGAATTAACATGCTGGTTTATCTTGCAGTAATTTGTTCTGCAGCCATAACCTGATGATGCACAAGGCAGTGAAGCCAAGAGTGCTTCAACATGCACTTTTATCCATGACGGTGTTGTTTCTGTCTCTGTTGTTTTTGACAACTCTGCCCCTGAGCCGTCAGTGGACTGATAGAGGTGTAAATGGTAGTTTTTCTGTTGGTCAGAAGAATAATGATGCTCCAGCTCTCCTTAAATTGCCTTTGGAGCTCTGTTTCCAAAATACATGCATTTGCATAAAAATAAATGGTGACATAAATTCAAAAACTCATTTGTCTTTTTGATACCTTTTGTAGGTAGGTGCTGTGGGAAATGGTCTAATGTCTAGTCTCATGTTGTAATCTCTTGAATTACAAAAGTGGTGGAGAATTTCGTGTTGTGTGGGTGGTTTTGTTTTGTTGAGGTTTGTTTTGCTTATTTGTTTTTTTCTCCAGTGGGAATGCCCATTCGATACTTAGCTGTCTGCAGTAAGATAACCTTGAAATGTACTGGGACCCAATGTGGCTCTGTTTCCTTATTTCTCCAGAAGGCTCAGGGCTTTCAGCTTTTGTTGGCAGTTTGTCTCTGATGTAATGTTGTGTTTCGTGATTTTAATTAGATTTTGAGTTCCCTAGCTTGACTTTTCACTAGGTTTATCTTCAAAGTCCTCTTTCTCTGGGTCCAAGCTGGATTTGTAAAAGTGAAAAGGAAATAGAGGTTTTGGTGTTTTGGTTTGTCTCTTGGGTGATTTTAAAGTACTTCTAATTACATGACAAAAATAAGCTGCTAAACGGGGGGAAAAAAAAATCAGAGTTCAGTAACTTTCACCTTACATAATCTCAAAACATAGTATCAAACTTTTTATGGTAACAGTGATGCTGTCAGTTCAGTAGAAAATACCCTGATAGCTTATTGCAGCCTAGGCTGCTGTCTGTTGTGTTGGCAAGCACACAGGGCTTGCATGGAAATTACAAAGAATTCAAGTAGAAAATGCTCATTCATCTCTCTTTAGAGGTTGAGTTCCAGACAAAATTATTAAAAAATTCAGCACTTAATTGGAGCAATTCGCATGCTTCTCTGCTGAATCCTCAAATATGCAGCTTGTGTGAATTTGTTCTATTTAACACTTTGCCATCAGCTGACAGCTCTAGTTAGGTTGTCCTGACATGCATGTTACCAGAAAATTTGGTATTTATAGGACGTGCTGTTTTGCAACCTACTCATAAGTCTGATATTTCAGAAAACCCAAGTGTGGCCATTGGAGAGAGCTTGCTGGTTTCCTGACAAGAAAATAATTTTGCTGCTTTTCAGCATTTCTATCAGATATAATAAGCTATTTTTAAACTGTTTGTTGCCAACATGACCTCAAAATTAGAACATGTAGGAAAATGGGTTTGGTTTTTGGTGAAAAGGAAATACTTTGGGCAAAATGCCACTTCAGTTTCTCATACAAAATGTAGTTGAGGAACTCTTATTCTTATCCTCCCCTGGGGATTGAGATTCCTGGTCAGAATAAATGTCTGATAAGGCGTCAGTCTCATGGGCACCAGTAATGAGAAGTCCAACAGAATGCTCACATAAACAAATATTATGATAAGGCAATTAGACTGCGGTTTTTCACAAGTGGTACAGTGGTTTGTGCTCTCCTCAGTCCTTGCTTTGCTATTCACTGAAGTTTTTGAGATTCAGAGTTACCTTGAGCTCTTCAAAACTGACACGTGAGCATTACTGCATCTAATTGTATCTGCTGAAGAGTCTGTTGCCTCTTTTGGCAGAGTGGAGTATCTGTGTCCATTTGTCCCTCACTGGAGTGCAAGGTCAGGCAGCTGGGCTGTAAGCCATGTGCTGACCAGATTTCTGCACTTTTCACTGAAGCAGCTGGAGCAGTGGTTTTGCTCATCGTGCTGTGCCACTGCCAGTCTGCAGCAGGGACAAGAGTGGGTGTCTGTCCTTATGAGCTGAGGTGTCATGTAGAGATTTGCTGCAGTATGTTTCACCTGCCCAAGGTGATTGAATGGCCTCCCTTGGAATTCTGATTCCTTCAGACGGGTGCACAGAGTCCTCTGTCTGCAGTTTGTGAAACAAAATACATAACTAATACTGCTGTAATGCCTCTCTAAGCCTTGATGGAGAATAGAAGCTTTGCAGCTCCTCTTAAAACTTCGAGAATTGCCTTCGCACATTCAGAGATTTTTAAATGGCTTATAGCTTGTAAAATAAACAAAGTTTATAGAAGAGTGTTATGATTTAACCCCAGATGGCAACTAAATCCCATCAAGGCACTTGCTCACTCTTCCCAGTGGGATGGGCAAGAGAATTAGAAAAGCAAAAGTGAAAACTTCATGGGTTGAGATAAAGATAGGTAAAACAAAAGCCACACAGGCAAGCAAAGCAAGAAATTAATGCAATGTTTCCCATGGGCAGGCAGGTGTTTGGGCATCCCCAGGAGAGCAGGGCTCTGTCACACACAGTGATTACTTGGGGGGACAAACACTGTCACTCTGAATGTCCTCCCCCTCTCTCCCCAGTTTTACATGCTGAGCATGGTGCATATGCTGTGGGATATGCCTGTGCTCACTTGGGCTCAGCTCTCCCAGTTGTGTACCCTCACAATTTTCTGTGCCCTGCAGCCAACTCAATGGTAGGGTGGGGTGAGAAGCAGAAAAGACCTTGAGTTAGTGTAAACACTCCTTAGCAATAACTGAACCCATGTGTTATCAACATTTTTCTCATCCTAAATCCAAAACACTGCGCTGTACCAGCTACTGGGAAGAAAATTAACTGTCCCAGCTGAAAGCAGAGCAGGGCTGCTTCAGCTTATTGAGTGGTAAGAAATGCACGTTTTTTATTTTGCACGTTTTAATCTCTAAATCCACTCAAGTAAATTCAAGAAAATATTTTATGTTCCTAGTTATGACAAGCACTTTGTAGCTATGAAGGAATGAAGTTACCACTTCTTTATAGCTAGATAATTGTCATTGAGAATCCTTCAGCAAGTTCCCATGCCTGCACTTACACTGCTTGTTAGACCTCCTGACTGTTGTAGGGCCCTGCTAGGAACAGTTGCCCATAGCCTTTGGCGTACATCCCAACCCTTCACTGAATTTGCATTTGGATTTTGATTGGAGTGTCTCACCTTGTTGCTTTCAAATGCTCATCAAGCAACTTCGAGCATATTGTTTTCTGTAAAAGTGGTGTTTAGTGTGGCTGTTTTCTGATGTAGAAATACTTCAGGAATTTTCCCATATGCTGAAAGAATGCTCCAGAATGCTGCAAGACCCAGGGACAATGGAATTCAAATGCCAATGAACTTGTGTGTGTGACTATCGTGTTTATTTACACTTAAACAATTAACATTACCACACTTAAATTGTCCTAGTGATATAGTGGTGTTTTCTTTATCCACGGGTACATCTTTGAATTATTATTTATCTTACAATATTTCTTTTAATAGATGATGGAAAAAATGGAAGATCCTAGAGAAATTAGCCAGTATCATGCCACTAAGATACAGTGGGAACTGACTTGTTTAATTATCTGCTGCTTGAGGGAGAAAGTAACAGTTGCTGAAGGAAGTTTTAGGGAGTCAGAAACAAAACACTCACCTTTTTGTTTCTGGGAATGGCTAAAGTGCACCATGAGCTACAAAACAATGTAGTATTTGTAATTAGTGGTGGGCAGTGATTTTCTATAATTCTTAAATTTCTGACTATTGTTCAGCTTTGAAATAGTTGCATTTTGGCTTTAAACTTCTTAATTGTCAGATACTACAAACAGGAATGTGTTGATTTTTCTCGCCTATGTCATAAAGTTTTGACTGGAAGATACTAGTTCTTTTCAAGGTTTAAAATGGTATTTTAAAGCAGCTTTCATTCAAAGGCCAGCTATTGACACCTGTAAATATCTATATTCTGTAGTTTATTCAGTCTAATGGGAAATAAGCATATGTAAACAAGTTAGATTTTGTTGCCTTGCATTCTACAGCATTTTTTTTTTCAATCAAAATGAGATATCATGATTGTGAGAAAGCTTGTTTTTCAGGAAAGATGACCAAATCTCAAGAAGCCTTTCAGTAGGTCTTCAATATTCCCCACTTTGTATCCCATATGATTTTATTTCTTTAGGTGAATATCGAGTCTTTTTATTTGCAATAATTTCTCTGATAGCTTCTTGGCTAATTGTAGTTTGAATCTCGTGAAGGTGAGCAAGTCTGAAGTGCAGATTGGATTGTATGTAGAATTGATACATAAAGGCATAGTGTATACATATATGTATAGTATATATAGTATTTTGAATTCTGGACTTCAGAAGTGTATTTCCAGCACTATCTTCCCCTTTTGAAGTGTATTTCTCATTTAGCTGTAAGAATTCTACCAGCAGAGTAAGCAAGGGCTGGACTGTTCCCCTCAGTAAAAGCGTGAACCTGTCTCTTGTACTGAATGAACAGCACAAGCACCTGATTTTAGGGGCAGTTTTAGAGCTATGAATCCTTGCCTTGCATGAGTGCCTTGGAAGCTTTTGCTGTCGGTGTCCTGCTTGGTTGCTTTAGGTCGATGTTTAAATTTGGGGAGGCAGGATTTCATGTGCATCACTCTTCAGAGCTTCTCTGTCAGCTATTTTAGGTAACCATATGCTCCCAGTAATAGTTATTTCTGGGTCCAATGCTTCAGTTGCTGTAGAAAGATGTTAAGCAAGTAATGTGGATTTGTATTTTCTGTTTTGAAATGAATATCCATCTTTCTCTGAATTTGTATCCAAAATATTTTCCTGTCACAGGCCCTTCCATTCATCTTTGCAAAAGCTCAGGTTTTCCACAGCGTCGTTTGTCGTGACAGTGGTTGACCCAAAGTGGCTAAATGTGTTTGGTGCCTATTGGCAGTATTCTTTTCTTCTTCTTCTAGGACGTGAAAATCTGAGAAATGAACAAATTACGGCAAAGCTTTAGGAGAAAGAAAGATGTCTATGTCCCAGAGGCCAGCAGGCCTCATCAGTGGCAGACGGATGAAGAAGGAGTTCGTACTGGCAAGTGTAGCTTTCCTGTTAAGGTAAGATTTCTGCCTTTCTTCGGGATATCCAGCAGGTACTCTTGCCATGAATTATTATTTGGGGTTTTTTTTTGGCAAGCATAAGCCAGAGAGACATGCTTCATTACACACTGACCTATTTTACAGACAGCTCTCATTGCAGAAGATGTGGCTTTTTTCTTAAAACCAGATGGCTCACGTAAGAAATGCCTTGGAAAATCAGTCTGAGATATCCCACATTAGTATCTACCTGGAATAAATCATATAGCTAGCTAGAGGAGTAATACAATATTTGTCTTAATTTTTCTGGAAGGTCAGAAATAGATAGACTTTGTGGATTGCATGGAAAGGTACTCACTTCTCTTTGTTAAAAGTGTAGTTCTGGTTACAGTTTGACTTGTAGGGTAGGCACTGGGCTGTGCTTGGGAAGCAATCCTTCCTCCCTCTCAATAATTGAAAATATTTTCAAGTAACACCTGGGATTTCAACCAATGCATGAGATTAGAAGCACTTGCTAACTTCTGAGAATGCCTCTGTGCTACAATTTTGTGTGTATATATCACAGACTATTAACTCATATGAAACTGAAATTACCTTCTAAAATTCTGGGAACTCATTCCAGATTATTAGAGTATTATAAATAGATATTTTGTGTCCAATTCTCTTTCCTCTTCATTTAAGAAACAATAATTTAATACTTTAGAATAGTATTTAATATTAACAGTTAACAAATACCAAAGTAAAAATAAATATAGGGTGCCTTGTTGCATATGCTCCCCTTTCTTCCTCAAGGTACACTAACAGTAGATCTACAATAGGTAGGAAGCAGATGATGCTTGAGGAAAGCTAATGGGTTAAATATGTGTGTTCAAGGAACACAGTCCATGGTTCTGACACCTAAGGACCTTTCATTAGTTTTTCACTGTATTATGCTTAAGCTAATTCTGTCTGATAGTTAAACATGTGATGTTGCTAGCTGGAATTCTTTAAACTGACTTGCATATTTTTGTGGAGTTGTGGATTGGTGTAGGTATGTGATAACTTTCACACAAGGTTAATGCCCTGCTTTACCCTATTAGAGTTGTTTGTGTGCTTTTACATATACTCAAGTGTGTACAACATTTCTAGTTCATGGCTGCTTGCTTATTTTTGTCTTGAGTTATTTTTCTGCTAAGAGGAAGGAACTGTAATTCAGTACTAAACAGAGATGGTGTTTTGCCAAAGCTTTGAAAGTAATTGCTCTGTGAAAGCTCGAACTTAGATTAAGATTTAACACTGTCTAGGAGAGAACAGAGTTGTCAGTTTGAGGATAGTGACTTTTTCATAATTTAGGCATTACACAGGTTGAAAAACCGAGTGCTCAGTTTCTAGGAATTTAGTTTTATTCAAACTTTTTCAATCCTTTACTGAACACAAAGGATGTGAACCACTTCACACTGTTAAAAGACTGACTTTTTTTAAACTCTCAGTCAGGACTTGTACTTCTAATGACAAGTGCTTCCTGTATTTAAATGAAGCATTCATCTATTCCGGGCACATGTACCCAAAGTCAAAAAAGGTTTTGGCCTATTCTGTGCTGAAAAGGCATAGAAATGGATGAATCTTTGCATCTTGTCATCATAATGGGACTTATGTGCACTCATTAGTCTACTTTTAATTGAGATTCACTGAATTAATTTAATTTGTTCTTTGGAAAAAAATACTTTTAAGGTAAATGTAAGGGGCATTTCTTGATTCGGTCAGAATGGTAGACTATTAATGTCTGAAGAACTTGCAATTAGGTGAAAACTTAAATTCAGAAGAGTTTGATATTGAGGCATTTTATCTTACTTGACTAGAATTTATTGTCTGAAATAGTGTGCATTGATATGGACAAAGTGGAAATTTTTATAAGGCTTGAGATGCAGAGTGGGTGTTAACTGGTATTTAATAGATAGAGACAGGAAGTCTGCCATTGTGAGGGAACAAGATAAACCAGATGTAGAGTCATCACTTTAGTGGGTGGTACTGTATTTTGCTCACAGAAAGAATAGAAGTTTGTGCTATTGAAGGAGAGTATCCTGTTACGCCTGTCTTGGGTATTTTTTGGGAATTCATACATTCCAGGAAAAGTATACAGTCTCCTATGTCCTTAAATATCTAATGAGGTGACTTTTCTTCCTGATGCTCCTCAGTGGAGAAGGACAAAGGGAGATATTTTGGGAAGAATGGTTAATAAATAGGAATGCATTCAAATCTGAAAGACTGTGAATATACCTGAATTTTCCTTAAGTTTTGCATTGGGTATTCTAAAGTGGTGCACTGTCTGTAGTGTAGCTGCTCAACCACACTTGAATATGTTGGGGGAGCTGGGGAGGGGCACAGGATTAGCCTGTTCTTATTCATTATCATCTGCCTTGCCTGCTCCCTAAAAATCATCATCTGTAATTCTTTGGAGCTCAAAGCGTAACTGAGTAGCAAGACCAGAATCTGGCTTGTGCAGGGGTGGTGCAGACTTCAGCTGTGCTCAGAGAAGACCTGACAATTCTTAGTAAGTGTTGCTGCAGCTGTCTGTAGTATTTTCTGTTTGAAAGTGAAATACATGAGACTAGTGTGGTGGCACCCAAGCTGTGGGCTTTGTTTCTTCTAATGCTTGCTATTTTATATGGGTAAGATTCTAAATTTTTTTTTTTTTTTTTTTGAGATAGAGCAGACTAGTGCAAACACGTAGGGGAACATTTGTTCTTGGTTTCTCTTGTGAAAAAAGATCTCTTAAATTGGTTTGGTTTTTAACTTCTTGCCTTTGGGCATTTATATTTTGCCCAGAGCTTGGGTGTTTGTAGGGAGCTACCACAGATTTATCCTTTTTTTAGACTTTACAGAGCAGATGGAAGCACTTTGAAAGTCATGTTGCAAATAGGATTTCATCTTGCCTTCAGGCTTCACTCTGTTAGTGTTGGACAGGGACTCCAGTAGCTGCTCATTCGTTGTGCTTGGAGGATGCTGTACTGCAAACAGATTTAATGTTATTGAAAGGTTTTCTATCTTGGCATGTTTCTTGAAGGTCTTCCTGTGCTATGTCCACAGCTGATCCTTATTGTTAAAGCCCTTAAGTGTTCTGTTGGATTTTGAGCAAATCTGATACATCTATGGATCGTCTTCCCTTTGAGAGAGAAGATGCTCTGTGGAAAGTACAGCCAAAATTCCTGTTATGTTCCTTTATGTTGCTTTAAAATTCAGGGAAGTAGATTCGACCTATAGTTGGTTCTCTCCAGTGCTGTGCTCCTAAATTTGGAGGTGGTGACAATCATGAATGAATACTGTTCCTTTTAGTCAATAGCACTCCTTTTTGTTAACAGCCCGTGTTTTTCTGCTAGTTGGTGAGGCTGTGTTGCATGTAGCCAGTTATTGATCATATTTTCTCAATCGTCGGAGTGTGTGTACATGTATTTACAGATAGTTCTCTGTGTTGGAAATCTAACCACAGCTGAGGTGGTAACCTGACACTCAAAAGATAGGGCTGTGCCATGGCTACTGACTTTGCTGTAGTGCTCTTCTGTGTAAACTGCTTTGAATCTGTTAAAGTTAAATTGAAAGAAGAGCCAAGGAGAGACAGGTCTTGTCTGTCAGCAAAGGTACGAAGATGTTGTTAAACTTGTGTTTAGAAAAGTGACTTGTAGGCTTTTCCTATTCCATTGGGAACTTAAATGATGTTGCTCTCCTAACTTTGGTGGTATGGAGGCATAATACATTGCAGCTTTTATAGGTGTTCAACAAGAGTTGCCCCATTGTTTAATATAGCACTGGTACATCTGTTGCAGTCTGTGCAGAAATCTATTTTCGGGGACAAATTCTTTTCCACTGTCCTAACAAAGTGAAAGATAAATACTCTGTTTCAGTAGTGAATCCTCTGAGAGAAAAAGATAGATACAGGCAGTATATAGGGGTGCTAGATGAAGAGATTGTATTTAAAACTATTTAGAAGTTGAATATTCTAACAGACATTACAGCTGTGCTTGTCAGTGCTATAATTTATTTATACAATTTTATACATTAGAATTGCAACAAATGAAGTTCATTGACATCCACATTTTCAAACTTGCTTTCCTGCTCCAGACACTACCTCACTGAAAATATGCAGCTGTTCTGTGGTATAATGACTAAAATATTTGACATTAGGGCTTCTTTTGTGTGAAAAGCCTTTTCGAGTGTCCCTCTGGGTAAGTGGTTTTCATTCATACAAATGCTCTTTGGAGTAACTGGCCTGTGAAATTTATATCAGAAAAATTAGGTCATTTCCTTCTACCTAAGAGAACTAAGCAAACAAGAGATTTGCAAATTCTTGGTGGTTCTGACCAAAAGGATGTGTTAAACAGAATATGAACACCTGGTTACTACGTGGTGTTCTGGAAGATGCAGCAGTTGTGTGTATCTTGGATAATTTAATCAGTTTTGTACTCCATGTTCTTGGTGGTCAGGGTCTTCTGACCTTAAGGCATTTAAGGCTGCTGTTGTATATCACCTGCAAGTTGATTTGCATTTTTTATTCGACCTGAAAGACTGAAGATGTTGGTGAAAACACTGGTGTGGAGGAGTAACAAACCACATTTCTATCTCTGGTATCCAGGGTTTGCTGCTGAGTACCTGCTATCATTGGAGTTAGCCTTCCCACTGAATTTTTTCTGTGTTAGTGTAGACAAATAACAATTGTATGGATACAGTTGTACTTTTGTATATAAAAGACCTGGCTTTTCAGAACAAGTACTCTTGCACTGTTTCCTATCTAACCCTTGCTTTGATGGGAGATGTTTGCAAGTATTGCTTTATGTTCAAGAAGAGACAGAAGGAAAGGGAACAACTAGCAAAGCCCTGTGGAGTATCCTCAGTGGCACCTGTGAATGTCAGTTCTCATCCCTGGGCTCCTTGTTTAGGCCTTTGAGCTGTTCATGGCACAGCTGAAACCACCATCAGTAGGAGCTAGGCCGTTTCAGTCACTTTGCTTTGTGCTCTCACACCACTCATGGTTATCCAGGTTCCTGTTT